AATATTCATTTTCCATGGCCAGTACAATCTGTACACCAATGTTTTTGTTTATGTGGCACTATAGATACTAGAGCCATGCTATGACCACTCTATCAAAAAGACATATCCAGTTTGGCTGCCAAAATGCTATTTCAGCAAAATGCTCGTGAAGTTGTTTTTCAAGAATGTTTAGAAGATTTTTTTTCATCATTTCCATTTTTGGACATGTACTACACTCTTGCTCTGAGCATGTGCCACATTTTCCAAAAGACATGCCAAGCTCAGGCTGGCTCTACTTCGTATAATTCAGATTTTTGTACAAAAGCAAAGGCCACAAAAAATGAAAGCACAACTGAATCAAATTATGTTTTTGATCAAATTAAACAACTGTGTAGATTTTATCGGCCTGTTGTTTTCAGTGTGAAAAACCTGTTGCACACAAGACTACATTTTCCTCCTTGCCCATCTCTATTGAAAAAGTAGTATCTAAAGGAAAAGTCAATGTTACTTTATTCAGGCAAGACCAAAGCTTCGACAGATTGCCCATCATCAGCATCATCAACAAGAAAAATCACAATTATTTATTAAGCACTGTGTAAGAAATAGCATCAAAAGAATATGATTCATTACTTGAATCTCTGGGATGGTTTTGAAGGTCAGTAGTTAGCGATGAATAGCATGCACACATGCAAAAGAGGTCTTAAGAATGTTATGAAAGCTGTATTGTTTACTCAGAACAGTGAAACAACAGTGTTAATTGTTCCCTCTGATATTTTCTGGAAAGCACAGGATTATTCAGTGGTCTGCAAGTGTATGCGTAGGTTTTGAGCTTGGCATATAGACTAGGGTTTCTTAAACTGTTTCCATTCGCAACCTTTTTGCCTGAGAAATTTGTATGTGACCTAAGGTATACAGGTATAGAAACCAAACATTTGATAATGACTAATAAAGAAATGTAATTTAAAAGAATTCTTGGGTATAACTATAATATCATTTGTTAAAGATGAATACTTTTGAGATGGACGTGCTTGTTATTTTACATAAAGAATTCAATCTTGGCTGCATATTTGATACTGCAGGAAGCAGAGCATCTTCAATGTTTTCCACACTATGTTGGCATGCCTGGTTTGCAGCCTCAAGTGGCAGAAAATACTCTGTTGGCTCTCGTTTATGCTGAATTGAGAGATCACAGTGAGGTGTTTGGGAGGTCTGTACCTCCAATATGGAGTGAAGCAAGTTAAACCGCTGAGATGCTGAATTTGCTGACCGAAAGGTTAGTGGTTTGAATCCAGAGAGCAGGGTGAGCTCCTTCTGTTAGCCCCAGCTTTTGCCAACCTAGCTGTTCGAAAACATGCACATGTGAATAGATGAATAGGTACGGCTTTGGCAGGAAGGTAATAGTGTTCCATGCAGTCATGCTAGCCACATGACCTTGGAGGTGTCTATGGACGCCGGCTCTTTGGCTTAGAAATGGAGATGAGCACCACCCCCCAGAGTCGGACATGAGTAGACTTAATGTCAGGGGAAACCTCTACCTTTACCTTTTACCTCCAACATAAAAGGTCTCTGGAATGGTCTCACATCCACCTCTCTATTGTTCTCATCATAGTCTGTTCATATAAAGGCATGCTATACATATCCTTTCCTTACACTAAAAAAGTGGTATTAACCCTTCCCCCTCCCTGCACAGGTTACAGGCAAATTCTTCTTGCACTTTTAATGGAAGATGACTAATATGTTTGATTCAATTGAGTATGGTTTATGAACTGAATTTAAAACTCAAAATTTGAAAGGAAGAATTTCTGAAGCCATCAAGCAAAATCAGCATTTACAAGGCTTGCTAAACAAGGCAGGTTGATTTTCCTTTTTAATGAGGTACAGCTGAAGAAGATAATGATGCTGGGGGGAAAGGAAGGAAAAAGAAAGTGGGGTTGACCAAGAGAAAGATGGATGGATCCTTGAAGTGACTGGTTTGACCTTGAAGGAGCTCAGAAGCGACTGAACGAATAAACAACAACACAGCTGAAGCATTTGTTGCACTTTGATGCTAACTGTTTCATGTCAATATCTAAAACAGCCACTAGGTGGGAAGCTACATAAATTTTCTTGACTGCCACATTCAATTTGGGGACTCCAAATGGGTACGGATGTGAGAGCTGGACCTTAGGGAAGGCTGAGCAAAGGAAGATAGATGTTTTTGAGCTGTGGTGTTGGAGGAAAGTTCTGAGAGTGCCTTGGACTGCAAGAAGATCCAATCAGTCCATCCTCCAGGAAATAAAGCCCGACTGCTCACTAGAGGGAAGGATACTAGAGACAAAGTTGAAGTACTTTGGCCACATCATGAGGAGACAGCAAAGCCTAGAGAAGACAATTATGCTGGGGAAAGTAGAAGGTAAGAGGAAGAGAGGCCAACCAAGGGCAAGATGGATGGATGGCATCCTTGAAGGAGCTGGGGATGGTGACGGCCGACAGGGAGCTCTGGCATGGGCTGGTCCATGAGGTCACGAAGAGTCGGAGACGACTGAACGAATGAACAACAACAAACTGTGCACGACCCACAGTTTAAGCTTTGCTATAGATTGCTACCTGCCAAATGATGGGGAAAGCTGTATTTTCACCTCTACAGTACTTCTCTGAATACCTGATTGGCAGAAAAGGCAAAATTCCTTTCATTCCTTCAAAGAGATACAATAACTGAGCTATTGTGGAAAGGTAGTTATCTGTTTTCCTTTGTCAACATGCATAGATGCCACTATTTTATGGAATTATGTTTTCAAATAGCTTTTATATCATAGTTTTATTTAAAAAATTATATGCGGAGCATTATGTGTCTAGAACACTAATTTCCTGGGAGGGATTATTTCCAGCTTCAGTATTTCTCCAGAGAGATGGCATGAAATAGTTCATGTGATTAATGCTTTTCAGATGAACCACTGTAGTGGGGTAAGTGAGGACAGCAAACCTTTCTACAAAACATTGTTCCCAAGAAGCAATTTTGCATAACAAGTGCCTTGTAGGTGGTTATGCACCTTCAAGTTACCTATTGTCTGATGGCAAAGTATTTCAAAAGGTTTTTTTGAGGCAAGGAATACTCCAAAATGGTTTTGCCAGTTTCTTCCTCTGAAAATAGTTTACAGCACCTGGTATTTGTTGATGGTTCACCACGGTTGCTGCGCACAGCAGGGGCAACAACAAGCCATTAGATGGCACACTCTGGCTAGTATCCATTGTCTGAATCTTGATTTTTTTTAAGTAGTCCAGTTTTATTCAGAAACTGTCTGAAAACATGCTTTCTCTGCAAGGTGACACTAAAGACTAGGCATAAAGCAAGAAGTACAATCAAATATTTAAACTACCATAGTTGTTATTTGTTTTTGGGTTTTTTGCTTAGGTAGAATCTGTGGGAGGAATAAAAACAATAATTTTGGCCAAAGTACGGTAGGTTTCATATGAAGTGTCTATTAATTCCTATATAGGCAGTCCCCAAATTAAAAACACGGGATGTGAAAATGACGAACAATTAAGAATGGGGGTGGGACAACAGGAAATTAGAGAAATCTGAGAGGGAAGGGGAGGGAGGTGGAGATATATAGAGAGGGAGGGAGTTACTGAGAGGGATAGGGAGAATATATATATATATATATATATATATATATATATATATATATACACACACACACACACACACACACACACACACACATATATATATACACACACACACATAGAGAGGGGGGGGTTACTGAGAGGGAGGGAGAGATGGAGAGAGTTACTGGGGGCGATACTGAGAGGGATATGGAGAGGGGAAGATATGTATATATATATGTGTGGGGTTATTGAGAGGGAAGGAGGAAGAGATAGAGAGACATAGGGAGGAGGAGGGGATATATATAGAGGGGGAGGGAGTTATTGAGAGGGAAGGAGATATTGAGAGGGGAAAGATAAAGAGAGGGGGGGAGGAGGTTATTAAGAGGGAGGGATTGAGAGAGATATGAAGAGGGAAGGGTGTGTGTGTGTGTGTGTGTGTGTATATATATATATATATGGGAGGGAGAGACAGAGCAGGAGGGGGAGATAGAGAGGAAGGGAGATATGGGGAGGGATATGGAAAGGGGAAGATTTATATATATAGAGAGAGGGGGGGTTATTGAAAGGGAGGAATTGAGAGAGATATGAAGAGGGAAGGGTGTGTGTGTGTGAGGGAGAGACAGAGAGCAGGAGGGGGAGATAGAGAGGAAGGGAGATATGGGGAGGGATATGGAAAGATATATATATATAGGAGGGACTGAGAGAGAAGGAGGGGGAGATAGAGAGGGCGGGAGATATTGGGAGAGATATGGAGAGGGGAAGATATATATATAGAGAGAGGGGGGTTATTGAGAGGGAGGGATTGAGATATGGAGAGGGAGGGGGATATATATATGGGGGAGATAGAGAGGGAGGAAGATATTGGATGGGATATGGAGAGGGGAAGATTTATATATAAAGAGAGAGGGGGGTTATTGAGAGACATGGAGAGTGAGGGGATATATAGATATATAGGGGAGGGAGGGATTGAGAGAGAAGGAGAGTGAGATAGAGAGGGAGGGCGATATATGGAGGGATATGGAGAGGGGAAGATATATATATAGAGAGGGGGGGTTATTGAGAGGGATGGAGGGATTGAGAGAGATATGGAGAGGGAAGGGGATAGTGAGAGAGTGAGAGAAGGAGGGGAGATAGAGAGGGGGTTATTGAGAGGGATTGAGAGAAAGATGGAGAGGGAGGGGATATATATATAGAGAGAGAGAGGGAGGGAAGGATTGAAAGAGGGAGGGGAGATAGAGAGAGGGGGTTATTGAGAGGGAGATGGACAGGAAGGGGGACATGTATATAGAGAGAGGGGGAGAGGAGGACTGTGGGAGAGGGAGTAGGCCTCGCCCCCATCTCCCTCCCTCCCTCCCTCCGTCGGTTCGCGTTGCCTTGGAGACGGAGGAGGAGCGGGAGGCGGGAGGCGGGAGGGAGCGAAGAGGCGAGAGATGCTGCCTGGGCTCTTGCGGGCGAGGCTGGCTCCGTCAGGCGGGGCGGAGGGGATGCGGAGGGAGAAGGAGGACGAAGAGCAGCAGCAGCAGCGCGAGCAGCCGAGGCGCAGCCGCCACCACTGCGGGAGACCCCATCCATGCCGCGCGGCGGAGAGGGCAGCGGGCCCACGGGCAGGCGCGGCGGAGCTTCCCTTGCCACCCTCCTGCTGACAGGTTGGTCCCTCTTTCTCTCGCTCTCCGCGGAGCCCCCTCCTCTCGGCGGCCCTGTCTCGCGCCTCCCTCCTCACTGCGCAAGCTCCGGCCTCCGCGGGCCTCGCGGGGGCTTCCCTCGAGCCCCCCCCCTTGCCCCGTTTCTGAGGGGGGGGGCGAGAAAGGGCGAGACTGGATGTAATAATTATGGCTCTTCTGCTGCTCAAGGAAGAATTAAGTGTTCCTCCAGAACAGGCATGGGGCAAACTTGGGCCTTCCTCCAGGTGTTTTGGACTTCAACTCCCACCATTCCTAACAGCCTCAGGCCCTTTCCTTTCCCCCCTCAGCCGCTTAAGCGGCTGAGGGGGGAAAGGAAAGGGCCTGAGGCTGTTAGGAATGGTGGGAGTTGAAGTCCAAAACACCTGGAGGAAGGCCCAAGTTTGCCCCATGCCCGCTTTATTGCATAGGAAGAAGTGGATTGATATCCACAGAAGCTGCCATGTAAAACTAGAAGTTCTTCAAGGCTACCATAAAGAAAAGGGTGTCCCTCAAGGCCGCCATAACAAACTATAGGTCCCTTAATGTTACCACAGAAAACTGTGTATCCCTCAAGACCACTGTAGGAAACTGCATCTCTCATAGTCACCATAGGAAATGTATCTCCCTCAAGGCTACTATAGAAAACTAGGTTCTTCAAGGCTACCATAAGGAATTGGGTGACCCTCAAGGCCTGGCATGGGCAAACTTGAGCCCTCCAGGAGTTTTGGACTTCAATTCCCACAATTTCTAACAGTTAGGAATTAGAAGTGAGTCAAAGATGTGGCGGCAAAAAAAAAGCCAATGGGATTTTGGCCTGCATCAATAGGACATAGTGTCTAGATCTAGGGAAGTCATGCTACCCCTCTGTTCCGCCTTGGTTAGACCACAACTGGAATACTGTGTCCAATTCTGGGCACCACAATTCAAGAGAGATATTGACAAGCTGGAATGTGTCCAGAGGAGTGCGACTAAAATGATCAAGGGTCTGGAGAACAAGCCCTATGAGGAGCGGCTTAAGGAGCTGGGCATGTTTAGCCTGAAGAAGAGAAGGCTGAGAGGAGATATGATAGCCATGGATAAATATGTGAGAGGAAGCCACAGGGAGGAGAGAGCAAGCTTGTTTTCTGCTTCCCTGGAGATTAGGATGCAGAACAATAGCTTCAAACTACAAGAAAGGAGATTCCATCTGAACATGAGGAATATTTTTTTGGAATATTTTTATTTGGAATATGTTGCTCTTTAGATAGAGCGGATAGAAAGAAGGAAATAATAAATCAAAAATGTGATAATTACATGGAAAGAGTGGGAACAATGTTTTCAGTAAAGTTGGAAACGCAGTGGTTAAGAGTTAATGATGAAGAAAAGTGGAAAAGAGAAGGGAAGAAAGACAAAGCAAGCAAACATCAACAAAAAAAAGAGAACTTCTTGACTGTGAGAGCCGTTCAGCAGTGGAACTCTCTGCCCTGGAGTGTGGTCGAGGCTCCTTCTTTGGAAGCTTTTAAACAGAGGCTGGATGGCCATCTGTCAGGGGTGCTTAGAATGCAATGATCCTGCTTCTTGGCAGGGGGTTGGACTGGATGGCCCATGAGGTCTCTTCCAACTCTATGATTCTATGATTCTAAGTTCAAAACACATGGAGTGCCCAAGTTTGTCCATACCTGCTCAAGGCCACCATAGAAAACCGTGTGCCCCCCAAGGAATACTGAAAATTCTCCTTGCACCTTTCCTAAACCATCTAGAATCAGTGGTTCTCAACCTGTGGGTCCCCAGATATTTGGGCCTTCAACTCCCAGAAATCCTAACTGCTGGTAAACTGGCTGGGATTTCTGGGAGTTGTAGGCCAAAATACTTGGGGACCCACAGGTTGAGAAACACTGATATAGATTTATGTTTACTCTGTATACACTGGACTGGGTATTTTGCCTTTGAAGAAATGAGCTGATAGCCACAAAAGCCGCCTTGAGTCACCTTCAGGCTGAGAAAGGTGGGATAGAAATATCATAAATAAATAAAAGCTAAGAAAAAACAAAAAGTCTTAAAAGTATTTCTGGATTTTGTGTTTTTTGGAATCTCCTCACTTGCCTTTTCCCCATTTAGACCCATTTCAGAATCTGCAAGCCCCTCCTTGGAAATGTAACATGCATGTGTGTAAAATCTGGTAAACCGTTGATTTTATTTGATGTCCTTCACAGATAATAGTCTGAAGTTCAGATATTGTCAAAAACCTCTTGGAAGGACTACATATTTTAATCTTAAAATTCACTGTGACAGGAAAATTTCGAAGTCACTAGGTGGAAATCCAATCATGAACCACTTGAAGCCTGTTCTTGGACTAAGAACTCTTAATAACAGAACCTACATATTTTGCCGTATATGCAGATTCTGTACAGAGAATTCTACACATGCTGTACATACACATTCATACGTACATATAGGCAAAACTTAGGTATTTTATTCATTGTATATGCAGATGTAGTACAGCTGAGTACATATTTCACTCAATATGATGTCAGGAAGAAAAAGTTAAATTACCAGAACCCATGTACTGTATTTCAGATATGATTTAAAGATGCTGAAACCCAGAATCAAGGTGAATAATATGATGCAAATGGAATTGGAGAGGGTTTTTTCTCTCTCCAAGGACAGTGCAAAATAGTGTTCTTTCAGAACAGGCATGGGCAAACTTCGGCCCTCTGGGTGTTTTGGACTTCAACTCCCACAGTTCCTAATAGTCTACTGACTGTTAGGAATTGTGAGGATTTAAGTTGAAAAAACCCAGAGGGCCGAAGTTTGCCCATGCCTCCTTCAGAATCACTTTTTAAAAGGGTTATAGATGCAATTGAAACCACCAACATACTACAGTCAAGAATTTTCTCCTCTCCATCTTTGGTTGTTTTGGTACAAGCTGGGGAATATGGCCAGACTGAAGTGTGGACACTGCTTACCAAAAAAGGAGAACATTTCTATTGCTTGCCTTCGCAAACTAGGGCATAAGAAATGATCTCTGGAGCAATGAAATTAAATAATCCACAGAACTATTCCAGAGTGTAATATGTTCAGAAGTGAATTGCCCAGTGGGTACTGAAGCTGGAAACCCACTAAATTATCCCAGTGAGCATGGGAGACTGGAAATCTGCTCTTTGCCATATCACAAGGACTATTAATGTTTTCAAGGTTGCCTAGTTCCCATATTGATTACTTTGGAGCCGAGACAGATGTTTCTACTAGAACATTGTGAATTTTGTCACTCTCCAGATGTTGTCAGAGTGCAGCTCCCAAACTAACCTCATCATTGACTGTGTTGGTACAGGTTGCTGGGAGCTGCAGTTCAACAATATCTGAAATGCTGCATTTTTGTCCGTCCTCCAAGTTTAAATGAGGAATGTTACAGGAACATGGGAACCTGCCTTGTTAGTTCAGAATTATCTGTATTGAAGGTCTACAGGTTTTCAGGTACTGGGAGTACTCTTACTCACCTCTGTCCAGAGATGCCTGAAATAGAACTTGGGGCCATTTACCTGCAAAATATGTGCTGCTATCACTGAACTTTCCCAATGGGATGATTGTGCCTTCAGTGGTGATAAATAAAAAGGTACATATTTTTCCCCTTATTGTTTTCATTGCAACTACAAATATTACCTATTGGCAAAGATTGTAACAGCATGCAATATCTTCATGTAAGGAAAGTTGAATAAGGATGTGAATATGGTTTGTGTCCAGGGTCTTCACTCCTGAAAATATTTTGGGCTATACATGCAACTGATTCATCGATATGAATACAGATCAAGAATGCTGGGTTTAGGTTTTCTAGCTTTGCTCCTGAATATGTATACAGGCAGTCCCAAGTTACAAACAAGATAGATTCTGTAGGTTTGTTCTTAAATTGAATTTATTTGTAAGCCAGAATAGGTACATTTTTAAAGTGTAACTCCAATCTGTCTCTCTCTCTCTCTAAGTTTTGGATAGTAGAAGGAAGAGTTAACATCCCTGTGGCATTTGTTTTGTTGTCTGTGTCCCTGTTCAGAAGATTTCACCTCACTTTCTGTCGCTGTGATAATTGGATTTTGAAAACTTTGGCTTGTTGTAAAAACAAGTATTGGTGATAAAGCTTCAGTGGAGACATCTTTCCCCCATGACAACTCTTCCAGGAGTGAATTTCCCTTCCTAGGGGTAGAATTCTCTCACTTCCTGTTTCCTCTCCCCCCCCCCCCCCCCCGTTTGTAGCTATGAGTAGTTTTGAAATTGGATGCTTGTAACTTTGGCCACATCATGAGGAGACAGCAAAGCCTAGAGAAGACAATTATGCTGGGGAAAGTGGAAGGCAAAAGGAAGAGGGGCCGACCAAGGGCAAGATGGATGGATGGCATCCTTGAAGTGACTGGACTGACGTTGAAGGAGCTGGGGGTGGTGACGGCCGACAGGGAGCTCTGGCGTGGACTGGTCCATGAGGTCACGAAGAGTCGGAGACGACTGAACAAATGAACAACAAGAAGAACTTGGGGACTTATTGTAGTTAGCTCAGTGTTATGTTTGTATGTTGGCTTTCTTGATTGAAAAAAAGTAAGACCAGGGAGTTCCTAGTAAACCTTAGAAAAGGTTTTGTTCCAGTTTCTTAGATTCTGCAGCTTAAGATAATTTAGGAATTGTAGTCCAAAAAAATAACATTGTAAAGGTCCGATTTCCACTTAAATGGCTAGTGTATATGTATAGAACTATGTTCCCATCTTAGAATGAGCAAATTTGTGGAGAGGATTATTGACCACTGAATGTGTGATTTCACTGTTTCTTTTCAACACAATATGCAGAGATCCATTTTCTAAATTTGTCTATGGTAGTACTTTTGTGACAGTATTAGATTGGGAGGGATTTTTCACGTCCAGTCCCCATTTCCTGACAGAGTTGTCACTAATCAGAAATGGTGTTTGGAAGGAAGGTGGGATAGGAAACATAATAGTGGAAGAATGTCCTCAAAGTGGAGAAAGAGA